GTGGCTGGCGCTTTAGCTGGTTGAGCTATAGGCGCCGAGCCTTTATTTCTTTAATGTATAGATTTGTTTCCTAATTCTCTGGCTCTGCAGTTGAGCATAATTTAGGAGGTAAAAGCTCCTCTCTTTATACTTTGCTGTCCTTACTCGCTTCATTTCTCTGCTGAATGTGCCTCTTGGGTATAGGGATTATATGAAAGTTTTCTGTCTATGTAAATACTTATATGGCTCTTAGAAATGTTGAAAAAAAACACACACACACATACAGTACAAGCATTGGCTTAATTTATATTTAGTAGTGATTGTGCTGAAGGACCTTATTCTAGTCTTTCAGCCTAAAGATACATCCTTGTCCTAGATTCTGAGTTCCTTTCTTCTTATGGTCTCCAACTGATTAGGCATTAAATACACTAGTGATTAGTGGGCATTAACCCATACTGTGTATTCCAGTATCTCTGTTTTGTTCATATTTCCAATTAAGATGTCTCTCTCCTTCTAACATTTTTGGTGTTTAACCTCATCCTTTTAATTTCTTATCACCTAGAACTACAAATATCTCTTATGTCTGACATATGCTGAATAGATTCCAGTCTAGTGGTTTAATTTGTTATCTATAAAGCTTAATCATACCAAATATTATAATTACATATTTTACATGATGACTTTTCAGAGTTAATAACTATTTACTGATTTTGATTCTAAGGCTCAGAGGGATTATCTCATTTGTTCAAAACGATTATCAGTAGACAAGCAGAGCTGGGAAATTAGCACAGCTTAGTCTTCTGGTTTTAAGTACTATGCATATGACATAAATTACTAAAAGATGCAGGCAGTACCTGTGACTCAGTGGGTAGGGTGCTGGCCCCATATACCGAGGGTCGTGGGTTCGAACCCGGCCCTAGCCAAACTACAACAAAGAATAGCTGGGCATTGTAGCAGACACCTGTAGTCCCAGCTACTTGGGAGGCTGAGGCAAGAGAATCATCTAAGCCCAGGAGTTGGAGGTTGCTGTGAGCTATGATGCCATGGCACTCTACTGAGGGCGATAAAGTGAGACTCTGTCTCAAAAAAAAAAAAAATACTAGAAGATCTGGGCCTATGTCCTTGCAGGAAACAAAAACTTGACAATTTAAAATAGATTTCTTATAAAAACTGCATTCTTTGCCAGTCCTGCTGTAATACAGCAAGCACAGATAGCCTTCATTACCTTCTTAGTACTTAACTGCAGAATGCACATATTGACTTTTTGTGTGTGTGAGCATGCTTGCATTCTCTTTTCCATAAAAATAGAAGGAAATAGTCTTAAAGTAAATGCTACTGAATTAGGGTTAAGATTACCCACACAGACTCCATGGTCTTAAAATGTGATACAGAGTGCAGAAAGGGGGAAGCATGATTTATCTTAGTGCAGAAAGGGGAAAGTATGATTTATCTTTCTACTTAGTCTTTTGAGGTATATAAAAATGACAGAATACTATTACTTTTAAGTTTTAAAATATTAATTTAATGCCCGGGCTTTTAAAAAACTTTGTATTGGCTCGGCGCCTATAGCTCAACCGGCTAAGGCGCCAGCCACATACACCTAAGGTGGGGGGTTCGAATCCCCAGCCCGGACCCGCCAAACAACAATGACGGCTGCAACCAAAAAATAGCCGGGCGTTGTGGCGGGCGCCTGTGGTCCCAGCTACTTGGGAGGCAGAGGCAAGAGACTCGCTTGAGCCCAGGAGTTGGAGGTTGCTGTGAGCTGTAATGCCACGGCACTCTACCCAGGGGGACAGCTTGAGGCTCTGTCTCAAAAAAAATAAAAAATAAAAAATAAAACTTTGTATTAACACAACTTTTATCATCAGTTAATATTTATTAAGAAATCTATTCATTTACAGACTTCTGCCTTATATAGTTTTATACTTGTATTCTGTGCTCTGGGCAGAAGATCAGATCTTAACCCAAGAACCCAGTTAATGTAATTGCTTAAAAAGTTACTTGGATGATATTGATGTGGAAGCAGTTATAATTAAAGAATTTTGAGTAGGCATTTTTTGTATTTGTGGAGGATGAACAAGTTGTAACATTTGATAACAGAAACCTTGTGTGTACTAAAAGATGTTTTCTAGGTTTTCTTTCATTTAAAAAAAAATAATTTGTGTTATTTTATGTAATTTATAAAGTGGAACCATGGGCTTAAATTCTTGTTTGCAAGGGGGAAAGGGACTATGTACTCAAGCAAAATGCAGAGGAATCTCTTTGTAATCCGTTTCTGAAAAATTTCCCTGTAGAATATATATTCAAAAGGGGCTAGAAAAGGATTGACTAGATTAGATTCTCTTCTCTCTGTTGGTAGAAATGGTTGAAGTGATTTAATGTTGCTTTATTAACATTAACAAGGTTTTCAGTGTTTATTTTTAACCTCTTTTTATAGTAAAAAATACGGAGTTTTTACAGCAGGCTGCTTTGGAAGAATATGGTCCAGAGCTTCACGTTGCTTTGAGAAGTCGAAGAGATGAATTACACTATTTAAGGAAACTTACTGAACTACTTTTTCCATATATTTTGCCTCCTAAAGCAACAGACTGCAGGTATAAATACACTAGAAGATACCATAGTAGTGTTCTTCTGTTCTTGACTATGGTAGGAGGGCACTAAAACTTGAGGTTAGCCTATGATATGGACAAATTATTCATTTGAAAAAAGTAATTTATCAGGTCTTAAAATACCAGTTGAGGTGCTAAGTGTTTGTGGTGTGGTATGTTGCCTAGATTTTTTTTTTTTGAAAAATGATCTTAGTGTCAATAAATATGAATAAAATTAATCATTTTTCTTTTTTTTGAGACAGTTTCACTTTGTCATCCTCGGTAGAGTGTGGTGTTGTCATAGCTCACAGCAACCTCAAACATTTGAGCTCAAGTGATTCTCTTGCCTCAGCCTCCCAAGTAGCTGGGACTATAGGCACCTACCACAGTGCCCACTGTTTTTAGAGACAGGGTCTCACTTTTGCTTAGGCTGGTCTCCAACCCCTGAGCTCAGGAGATGCACCTGCCTTGGCCTCCCAAAGTGCTGGGATTATAGATTTGAGACACCATGCCAGCCTTAAATTGGTTTTCTTATTGAGAACATTATGTTTTATTTCCTTAGTGTTGCTTTTTAAAGGCTTGCACTTTGTAAGTGTTATGGGCAAAAACCTTTGAACAAACTATATAGACAAGTTTGGGTTTCAAGGTTTTTAGCTAGAAAAAATAATTCTAGTCTTTTCTCCTTTTTTCTGGCAGGAGCATATTTAGATTATTCCAGAAGTTACTTTGTTGCTCTTACTCTAATAATCCTTATAGGAGAAGCCACAACTTATCTTTAGTGGTATACTTTATTACTTTGTTTTAAGTTTTTATTTTGTTCTTAAAAATATTTTAATAATTAAAAGATTATTATCCTAGATTAGTTTATGATATTAATTTATAATTACAATTATAAGGTAATTATTCTATTAAACATACTAGTTATTTTGTTTTGTTGTTTGGTTTTTTGAGACTAAGTCTTGCCTTGTCACCCAGAGTAGAGTGCAGTGGTCTCATTGTAGCACACTGCAACCTCAAATTTCTGGGGTCAAGTGATTCTCCTGCCTCAGCCTCTGGAGGAGCTGGGACTATAGGCATGCACTATGATGCCTGGCTAACTTTTCTAGTTTTTGTACAGATGGGATCTTGTTCTCACTCAGGTTGGTTTTGAACTCCTGAGCTTAACAGATCCTCTTGCCTGGGCCTCCCAGAGTGCTAGAATTATAGATGTGAGCCACTATACCTGGCCTAAACGTATTAGCCTTAAACATTAATTTAAATATATATTAAACATTTAAAATATTCTCAGATAGGAATTCTTTTTTAATGTCCCTCAAATCTTTCCTATTAGGGGAATACTTTTTTTCTTTTAAATAGTATTATTTTTGACTTGGCACCCATAGCTTGGTGGTTAGGGTGCTGGCCACATACATTGGGGCTGGCGGGTTCGAACCTAGCCCAGGCCTGCTAAACAACAATGTCAGCAGTAACAAAAAAAATAGCCGGGTGTTGTGGTGGGCTCCTGTAGTCCTAGCTGCTTGGGAGGCTGAGGAAAGAGAATCGCTTAAGCCCAAGAGTTTGAGATTGCTGTGAGCTGTGATGCCACTGGACTCTACCGAGGGAGGCATCGTGAGACCTTGTCTCAAAAAAAAAAAACAAAAAAAATAGTATTATTTTTTAGCCACGTAAGGATTCTAAGTCCTTGCTGTTCAAAGTGTGATCTATAAACCAGTGGCATGAAATGTTACCAGGGACCCTGTCAGACATGCAGAATCTTGGGGCCTACTGAATTATAGTCTGCATTGTAACAAGACTCTTAGGTAAATCCTGTGTACTAGAAAGTTAAGACTAGCCAGGTGTGGTGGCTCACATCTCTAATTTCAACACTTTGGGAGGCTGAGGCAGGAGGATTACTTGAGCCCAGGAGTTGGCAGTTGTAGTGAGTTGTGAGGATGCTACTACAAGCTGGCCTGGGCAACAGAGCAAGGTTTTATTTAAAAAAAAAAAATAACATATGAAAAGAAAGTTAAGAACAAATTTAAATTGCTATATATGTGTATATATATACACACACACAATTATTATCTTTTTCCAGATCCTTGACCTTACTTATAAGAGAGATTCTGTCTGGTTCTGTGTTCCTTCCTTCTTTGGATTTCCTAGCTGATCCAGTAAGATTAAATATATATTTTTTTATATTGTAGTAAAATACACTTAACGTAAAATTGACCATCTTAAACATTTTTGTGTATAAATTCAGTGGTATTAAATATATTCATATTGTTGTGCAGCCATCACCACTACTCATCTCTGGAACTCTTATAGAACTGAAATGGTATACATTATACAATAACTCCTCATCCCCTCTTCAGCACTAGTGACCACCAATCTGCTTTCTGTCTTCAGGAATTTGACTACCCTAGGCACCTCATATAAGTGGGATCACATGGTATCTGTCCTTTTGTGAACAGCTTATTTCACTTAGCATGATGTCCTCGAGGTTTGTCCCTGCTATAGCCTGCCTCAAAATTGGCTTCCTTGGCAAGGCTGGATGACAGCCCACTGTGTGCATCTGCCACATTTTGCTTACCCATTTATCTATCATGGGCTCTTGGGATGGTTCTGCCATTGATCCAGTAAGATTTTGAAGAAACAGGAATAATTTATAAACATTTAAAATGCCAAAATCAGAATAGCTTTTTTTGCCCACTTCCACAGAGGTTAAGAATCTGCATTGTATATTTTTTGTGAAGTCTTTGTCTCTTTGTAATACATAAATGCAGATGCTTTGCCACTGTTCCATTTGTTTCTTTTTCTGAAAACTTTCATAATAGGATAAAAGTCCTGAGAACTCTGGGCAGAATACAGTAGTGAAATTATGTTGACTTTAGTTTATTGTTTTCCATTAGGATACTGTGAATCATTTGCTTATCATCTTCATAGATGACAGTCCAGTGAGTATTGAACATATTAGAGAACACTTCAGTTTATGTTGCAATTTGATTCTGTATATCAAGTGGAGGTGTTACTGAGTGAATAATTCTCTTTCTTTAAAGCCTGAAAAAGCAACTGAACCAGCTTCTCCTTTGGTTCCATTCTTGCAGAAATTTGCAGAACCTAGAAATAAAAAGCCGTCTGTAAGTATTTTCAGCAACAACATTCTTTTTAATATAAAGAAGTTGAGAATGCATTGATGTAGCTTCAACATACTCTTTTTCCCATAATGTGTCAAGGTGCTGAAGTTAGAACTGAAGCAAATCAGAGAGCAGCAGGATCTTCTGTTTCGTTTCATGAATTTTCTGAAACAAGAAGGAGCAGTTCACGTCCTGCAGTTTTGTCTGACTGTGGGTGAGGCTTACCTGTGTATTTTACTGAAGTAATTTTTTTTTTTTTTTTTTTTTGAGACAGAGTTGTGTAGCTATCACTCTTGTCACCCTCGGTAGAATGCCTGGCATCACAGCTCACAGCAACCTCAAACTCTTGGGCTTAAGTGATTCTCTTGCCTCAGCTTCCCAAGTAGTTGGGACTACAGGTGCCTACCACAGCACCTGGCTATTTTTTCTTGTAGTTATCGTTGTTTAGCAGGTCCAGGCCAGATTCAAACCCACCAGCCCAGTGTATATGGCTGGCACCCTAACCACTGAGGATGGGCACCAAGCCTACTGAATTAATTTTTAAACTTTTAATGTAGTTGAATGTTCAGATCGGATCTGATGTGGTTGCCATCTTTCAGTGATTCATTAGATAATCAGAGCACCTGTGAGTTTTTTTTCAAGTGCCCACTCCTTTCTACCATGGGAAAGATTATAATCGTTCATTGATTTCGATTAAATTCTGGTAGCAGGAGAGACCTAAAAATTTTGTATAATGAAAATTTAGTTCCTTCATGGTGGCTCATGCCTGTAATCCTACTACTTTGGGAGGCCAAGGAGGGAGGTTCCCTTGAGCCCAAGAGTTTGAGACCAGCTTGGGCAACACAGTGAGACCCTGCTCTGCCTCTACAAAAAACTGAAAAATAATTAAGTGTGGCAGAATGTGCCTATAGTCCTAGCTACTTTGGAAGGTGAGTCCAGTAGATTGCTTGAGCTCAGGAATTTGAAGTGCAATGAGCTTTAATTGTACCACTGCATTCCAGTGTACAACAGTGAGACTGTTGTCTCTTTAAAAACAAAACAGTAACAGTGAGACTCTTGTCTCTTTAAAAACAAAACAAAACAAAAAACTGTTAAAGACCTCAATGAGTAGCCCATGTCAACGTCATTCTATTGTAGTTTCTATTAAGGATTATTTTGATCAAATTATCAAATATGAAAATGTTTCATTTTGATTGTAAACTCTGAAACATTATGGATTATTGGATTATGAAAACTTTATGAACTGTCTATGAAAGATTAGTTTAAATGCATCTAATTATTTTATCTTATTTTTGAGAAAGAGTCTTATTCTGTCGCCCAAGGTAGAGTGCCATGGCATCTGCCTATCTCACAGCAACCTCAAACTCCTGGGCTTAAATGATCCTCTTGCCTTAGCCTCCTGAGTAGCTAGGTGGCACTTGTCCACTATGCTTGGCTAACTTTTTCTATTTTTAGTAGAAACAGGGTCTCTTGCCTAGGCTGGTCTCAAGTGATCCCCCACATTGGCCTCCCAGAGAGCTAGGATTGTAGGTGTGAGCTATCATGCCCAGCCTGCCATGTCTCGTTTTAGAAAAATGAGTTTGTTAGCTCTGATATTAAACTATAACTTCCATGATAGAAAGAAATATTGTTTAAAACAGTGGTTCTCAACCTTCCTAATGCCACAACCTTTAATACAGTTCCTGTGGGTCACAACCCACAGGTTGAGAACTGCTGGTTTAAAAGCATTGCTAAGAACTAAAAGAAGTCTTCATTTTTATTTAGTAAATTAATTTCAAATATTAAAACTTTTTTGGTGTAAGAAATAAATGCAATATATTCTTCAAAGAAGGTATTTGAAGACCAGGCGCAGTAGCTCATGCCAGTAATCTTAGCACTCAGGAGGCTGAGGTGTGTGGATTGTTTGAGCTCAGGAGTTTAAGACTAACCTGAGCAAGAGTGAGACCCCATGTCTACTAAAAATAGAAAAACTAGCCAAGCATTGTGGTGGGAGGGTAAGGCAGGAGGATTGCTTGAACCCAGAAGTTTGAGGTTGCTGTGACCTATGATGCCATGACATTCTACCCAGGGCAGAAAAATAAATAAATAAACTGTTTGGAGTATGTTTACTACTCTAAATTTTAGCAAACTTGTATTGCTCTTTTTGTATTCAGGTTTTTCATATTGTATAAAAATTGACTATTTCTCTGTTATTGGAATAGTTATTTTACTCAAATTTTGTCTAAAAACTTAAAATGAATTAGATTGCTTCTCATTGCTGCCATTAGTTAGAATGGGAATGTAAAGGTTTCATTAATAGCTTTATATTAAAATAATTTATTTTTTCTCATTCTTTCTCTCATCTGTTAGAGGAATTTAATGATAGGATTTTGCGGCCAGAGTTATCAAATGATGAAATGCTATCTCTTCATGAAGAGTTGCAGAAGATTTATAAAACTTACTGTTTGGATGAAAGTATTGACAAAATTAGATTTGATCCCTTCATTGTGGAAGAGATTCAAAGAAGTAAGTCAAAGATGATGAGAACGAATTCTTCCACTGTTTTATAGTTTTCAAAGAGTTTTCCCCAAAGTTCTGTTATTGCAATAGCTGTGTGAGTTACATGGGTAGTTATTATCCTATTTTGCTAATAAGAGGAAAGTTTTGAGAAAGAAACTTATTCCTGATTGACATGACTAAAGTTTGTCAGAACTAGAGCTTTGTGTTCTAATTTCTTGTTCTAATGTACTTACAGTGGAGTTTGTAAAGCATAGTTTTAAGATTCTTTTTATGCTCTTTCACTGTAACGAATTTCAGAACAATATATATGTTATCTATAAATAATTTCTACAATATAATTTTTTAAATAGTTGCTGAAGGTCCATATGTAGATGTTGTGAAACTTCAAACAATGAGATGTCTTTTTGAAGCATATGAACATGTTCTTTCTCTCTTGGAGAATGTGTTCACCCCTATGTTCTGCCACAGTGATGAGGTAAGTTGAAATATTAACTTTGAGGATTTTCATATAGAATTTAATAGTGGCTCTGATTTCTTAGATGAGTGATTCAAATAACAAAATAGAAAAAACGATATTAACAAAGTGAATACTCTTTTCTACTCTATAATTTGTTGGAGATTCCAAGTTATTCATAAAAACAATTCTCTATACCAGAAACATGTTTGGGTTTATGTGACTGGGTAGATTGGGACCAAATTGGTCTGCCTGATTTGCTATATGCCCAAGTAGCTTTTGTAGTACTGCAGTGATACAGAAACCCCATTCCTCTTGTGCTTACATTATTTATAGACCTGTGGACATTATCTCCATTTGCATCATTTTCACCCTTACCCTATTTGACTGTGGTTGTATTCACTTGATTTAAATATCTTTTTTAAAAAATTGCAAAATAGTAAGATAAAGTAGCATGTTTCACTTTTAAATACTAATTTAATAAACCATAATTATTCACTTTTTGAAGTATTTCAGACAACTCTTAAGAGGTGCAGAATCACCAACACGCAATTCAAAATTCAACAGGTAGGTTGTATATTTGTTTAAATTTGCTGATGCTTATCATTCTGTGATAGCATCATCGTCTTCAGTAGGTATTTAGGGACTACATACATAACGAAATCCATAGATAACTCAGAATTTAAGAAAGTAGTTTTCTTTTTAAGGGAAACTTTAACTTAATTTAATTTAATTTTACATTCTTGCTCTGTTGCCCAGGCTAGAGCTATGATGTCAGCCTAGCTCACAGCAAACTCAAATTCATGGGCTCAAGCGATCTTTCTGCCTCAGCCTCCTGAGTGCCTGGGAGAAGAAACTTTTTGTTAGATTATTTATAGAGTATAAAAGTGTTTCATTTTATACCCAAAGCATAACTTTTGTTTTTTAATATTTAGGGATCTTTTGTTAACTTTGCTTTTTAGTTTAAAACACAGTTCTTAATATGTGAATCATAGGCCAGGCACAGTGGCTCTTGCCTGTAAAACTTAGCACTGTGGGTAGCTGAGGTGGGAAGATTGCTTGAGATAAGGAGTTTGAGGACCAGTCAAAGCATGAACAAGCACCTGTCTCTACAGAAAAATGCGAAAAGTAGCTGGGTATGGTGGTGTGTGCCTGTAGTCCCAGATTCTAAGGAGGCTGTGACAGGAAGATTGCTTGAGCCTAGGAGTTGGAAATTGCAGTGAGCTGTGATGGCACCACTGCATTCTAGCCTGGGCAACAGAGTGAGGCACTGTCTCAGAAAACAATAAGACACAAACAGAAAAAACCCTCAAAACCCCCCAAAAAGGGTGAAGTGTGAGATGATTATGTCTAACATGGACCTGAATTCCATATTGGAAAATACAGGTTTGTTTTTTGTGCTAAAGTTTTAGTGGCTTAGTCTCTTTCATACTTTCCACTGTGTCAAATGATATGCCTAAAGACAAAAATGACAGAATTATTTCCTGATTGTTTTAATTTTGAAGAACATTTTTAATAATGTAGACTTCATATGCACAAACACAAAAACTATTGTGTGCTTGGTTTTCCCTTACCTTTATCATGTTATTCCTAAGGATTTCTTCCCTTTACAAAGATGAATGCTAGCCTGTGTAACTTGTAAAGCTTTTAAATTTTGTGCTCTAAAGTGAAATTTGTTTAATGCTTGGGTTTTCTTTCCCCTTCTTATATAATTTCACATATCTGTTATTGCAGAGGTAGCCTAAGTTTGGATGATTTTCGGTAAGTCTTCAGCATGTGATTCTTTTTAGTATTATCTGTTTAAATCCAGAAAGTACATTCCAGACAATCTAATTCTAACTAGAAAGGGAAAAACAGAGCACAGTTACTTAGGATGTCCTTTTAGAGTAAATCTCTGCTTTGATTCTTGATATTTCCTTTTTGAAATAGTGTGATATAGTTTATCACAAAATAAGGATGTCCTTATACTTTGAAGATGTTTTCATTGTGTATTTTGCTGGTATCTTTTCAAGGCTGTTGACTCATATTTGTTGTTGGTTTTGCGAAGTTATTTTTAGGATTTTTTATGCTTGGAGAGCTTTTTTTTTTCTTAAGCATTATAATGATTCTGTATTTTGGGGCATAATCGCAAATGAGATGTTTTTAAAATGTTATAGCGTGGCGCCTGTGGGTCAGTGAGTAGGGCGCCAGTCCCATATACTGAGGGTGGCAGGTTCAAACCCAACCCCGGCCACACTGCAACAAAATATAGCTGGGCGTTGTGGTGGGCGCCTGTAGTCCCAGCTACTTGGGAGGCTGAGGCAAGAGAATCGCCTAAGCCCAAGAGCTAGAGGTTGCTGTGAGCTGTGACGCTATGGCACGCTACCAAGGGTGACAAAGTGAGACTCTGTCTCTAAAAAAAAAAATAATAAAATAAAATCTTATATTTTAGACGCTTTAATTGTTTTGTAATTTCTGTATTCTAGAGACTGTGATAATCTTTCTTGGTTCTAGAGATGTTAATGATATTTTTATACTTGTTTTTGGAAACATTTGTTCTGTCAGAACTGTGTCTAAAATTGTGCATTTAAAAAAATTTTTTCTGCTTGTTTAGGTAATATAAGGTATTTTAAATCCCTTTTTGCTACTTAACTACTTAGTGTTTTTCCAGTTTTAAAGTAAGTTTGATGTGTTTCTCAGACATATGTAAAATACACGTCATTATATAGTTGGTATATTTGAAACTTGATCAGTTTAGTTTCATTTCTGTATTTGTATTATGTCAGTAGATAACTTAAATTTTGCTTGTAGGAATAATAGCTATATATTAAGTAAAACATTCAAAACACACAGGTATACAACAAGGTTAATAGTGTGTTGGCCCCCTGCTATGCAGACTGGTCTGTGGACCCGCAGCATTGGCTTACCTGAGAGCTTGTATTACTACAGAATCTTACAAGAGTAGTATCATAATGAACATGAATTTTAAATTGGATAAATTTTATAGTTTTATTTGCTGAAACATAAGGCAATAGCCTCTGATGGAGGACATTTTTGTTACTTTTAATTTTGTTGTTTTTAGCTGTTTCTGCTTTTAGAAATTCACTTTTTTTTAGAGAGTGAGTCTCACTTTGTCGCCCTTGGTAGAGTACTGTGGCATCATAGCTCACAGCAACCTCCAGCTCTTGGGCTTAGGTGATTCTCTTGCCTCAGCCTCCCTAATAGCTGGGATTATAGAAATTCACTTTTTAAAAAAATTGCTGATATTTAATATTTAAGACACAGTAAGCTGTTTCCTTGTACAACATTTGCTTTTATCCTTACATTCATTGTCAACCCTTGCCTTTGGCATTTTATCTTTTCTTTATTACCTTGAAGTTAAATAAGATGTATTTTGTACTTGTTCCTCTTTTGAGTATTATAAAGTTGAATTTTTCTTTTGTCAGTTATAGAGAGCAAAGTGTTTTTTGTTAGTTTCATCTGAAAATCAAGTACTGAGAAGGTCATGGTTTTATGTGTATATTTTTATATTATGTTCTTTTAGCTGTATAGTTTTTCTAAATAGATGTTCTGTTTTGAACAGTTCTTACTCAGTTTTTGTATGTTACACGCATTTCAAAATATGTATGGCAGTAAGGCCTTGATACCACTAGGGGGCTTTTACCTTTTAAAAATTTTAGGTCAGTTAATGTTTTGAAGTTTATAGTAGGTAAATTTAAATATTTATTAATAAATATTGTTTCATGTATTTATTCCCCAAATTTAAACATTAAATGCTTTTTTTTGGCTTCTGAGATGTTGATATTTAATCTGTGTTTGAAAACTCCAAAAGTTATGTTAGCTATACTGTTAGTTCACCATTTTCAAAACCATTTTTTTTTATGATTTTTTTATAGTAAACTGGACTGTTGTGATAATTGGCTATGTGCTTGATACATTTTTGTTTAATATTTAGGAGCACACAGAAAAGAGGAGAATCATTTGGAATCAGCAGAATAGGGAGCAAAATTAAGGGAGTGTTTAAGAGTACCACAATGGAGGGAGCTATGTTACCTAATTATGGTTTAGCAGAAGGTGAAGATGATTTTGTAAGTAAAAATTCTTCATTTTGATTCATGTATAACTTGAGATTTACTATAGCATAAAAAATTAGATATGCTTGTTGTTTTTCCTATTTTATCTGCTTGCTTCAGACTTCCTTTATCTTTCTCATTCTTTCATTAGTCGTCATGGTTTCATGCTGCTAATCTTGAAATTCCTGAGTATGCTATTATTGCTTATTAAGGTAGAGTGTCCCTGTTAAGCTGAGATACTTCTGAGATACTTTTTTTTTTTTTTTTAGACAGAGCCTCAAGCTGTCCCCCTGGATAGAGTGCCGTGGCATCACAGCTCACGGCAACCTCCAACTCCTGGGCTTAAGCAAGTCTCCTGCCTCAGCCTCCCAAGTAGCTGGGACCACAGGTGGCCCCCCCCACCCCCCGGCCTTTTTTTTTTTTTTTTTTTTTTTTTTGGTTGTAGCCGTCATTGTTATTTGGTGGGCCTGGGCTGGATTTGAACCTGCCACCTTAGGTGTATGTGGCTGGTGCCTTAGCCACTTGAGCCACAGGCGCCGAGCCAAGCTGAGATACTTGTAGTAAACAATTTACTGTCCTTTGGTGAGACTGCATATCCTACTGTTGTCCCAACACACATGTCCTGTATACAGCATTGTTAACAGGGGCCCCAGCCCCTGCTACTTAGTCTGTGGTCTGTGGACCAGCAGCATTGGCTTTACCTGGGAACTTGTATTACTACAGCATCTCAGGCCCCATTGTAGACTTACTGAATCAGTTTGCATTTTAACAAAGTCTCCAGTAATTTATATACACATTTCACTTACTGTGCTGTTTTATTTCTCTCTGCCTTTGCACATTTTGTCCTGCTTGAAATGCCTTTCTTTCCCTTATTTACCTAGAAAAGTTATATTTTTGAAACTCAGCTGTTCCCCAAAGACCTGAGTCCCAAATAGAACTGAACATTTCCTCTCTTTGTGCCCCTGTTATGTCATATGAGAGGTATGTTAAGGCATGTACCATCATGTATTTGGTATGTTTTGGGACTTTTTGAGACAGAGTTTTATAGCCTTTGGTAGAGTGCCCTGTCTTCCCTGTAAGAAAATGAGTCTCATAAAGGCAAATAATGTCTTGTTTGTACTTTTCATTTGTTAAACAAATCTTGTTGAACAGAGATTTTGGATCCTTATTTTACCTTTTAATAACCCTGGGCACTGGGGATAAAAAGATGATTGAGACATAGACCTTACTGTTAAGTAATTCACTAATCTGGGTGTAAAAGGAATAAATAATACGGATTGGATTGACAGTGGCCAAGTAGAAGGAGAGGTAGGGAGGGAAGAGTGAACAGACCCCCTTTTTCCTCTTTACCTCTTCCTTTCACTTCTGTCCTCATGCATTGAAAAATTATTGAGGAGGTTCACCAATTCTTCATAATAATTTAAATGGAAGAAAACCTATTTAAACCCTTTTTCGATAATCAGAATACAAGATTTTTCTTTTTTTTATTCCCTTATTTTTCATTAGAAATGTGGATAGAAGAAAGAGTAGATCAAAGAAAGGAGTCTTGGCTCCTCGACTGTGGCACAGTGGTTGCAACGCTAGCCACATATACTGAGGCTGGCGGGTTCACCGGATGGGATAAACAACGATAACTACAGCAGAAAAATAGCTGGGTATTGTGGCGGGTGCCTGTAATCCCAGCTACTTGGGAAGCTGAGGCAAGAGAATCGCTTAAACCCAAGAGTTTGAGGTTGCTGTGGGCTGTGACACCATGGCACTCTTCCAAGGGGGGGATATAGTAAGACTCTGTCTCAAAAAAAAAAGAAAGAAGTCTTTTCCAAAATAATGCTTCTTTTCTAATTTTAGGCATATTGTTATAGTCTTATATTTTAATAATATGGAAAAGTGGACAAAAATTTTAAATATCACTCATAATCCTATTACCCAATAACCACTTCTGTTAATAGTTTGGTGATTTTCATTTTTTAAAGTTATCTTTCTTACCCCTATAGATTAGACTATATTATATATACAACTTGTTTTCCTGCTTTCTCTCCAATTAATATTGCAAAGAAAGTACTTATTTACTCATGTAATTGTGAACTTTCAGAACATGATTTTTATGGGGGAAGATGTACTACTTATTTTTTGCCTTCCTTGTTTCTTGAAATATAAGCTGTACTTTTCCTTTAGGAGTAGCAAGGTAGCTTTAAAACGCTGAAAGTGTTAGTTCTGTTTTGTAGTGGCCCAAGGAAGAAGGAAATTCTTGACCAGAAGTAAAGATAGCAACAACAGAAAGTAGGAGAAGCAGGCAAACTAATATGTAACCCAAACTCTCAAAAGAGAAGGCAGGAGCAGTCAGATAACTAAGATGGAGCCACCTGGAGTTTAGAAGGCCCTAAGGATATCCCCAATATTTAAAATATTGTTTAATGGCTTGGCACCTGTGGCTTAGGTAGCTAAGGTGCCAGCCACATACACCTGAGCTGGCGGGTTCAAATCTAGCAGGGGCCCACCAAACAACAATGATGGCTGCAACCAAAAAATAGCCAGGCGTTGTGGCCTCACCTGCTTGGGAGGCGGAGACAGGAGAATTGCTTGAACCCAGGAGTTGGAGGTTGCTGTGAGCTGTGATGTCACAGCACTCTAACCAGAGAGGCAGCTTGAGGCTCTGTCTCAAAAATAAATAAATAAATAAAATATTGTTTAAAACAATATTTAGTGTTTCAAGCACTTTTTGTTAAGCTGTGGGACCTTGGAGATGCTCTTTTGTCCAGTAGGAAGTTGAGGAGAAAGAGTTGCCAGTCTCACTGCCAGGGCTAAAGTGGTTTGGGATCCTGCACTGGGATGTGGAAAACTTTCAGAAACCTTGTGATCATTATCAGCAGTGCCTACTTGCTCTGCGAACTTGGTCAAGAAGCTTTATTTGTGATTTCATCTTTTCACAGTGAGATGGAGATAATGGTATCTGTCTTTATAGAGGCACTTTGTGAGGAGAATTAAACAATATGTGTGAAGCTCTGAAAATAATGCCTAGTGCATAGTAAGTGCTGTAGGCACTGTGTGGTGTTACAGTACCTTTGATTCTTATACCATGTTTCCCTGAAAATAAGACCTACCCCCAAAATAAGCCCTAGCAGGATTTCTGTGCGTTTGTTAAATATAAGCCCTACCCTGATAATAAGACCTAGTGATAAGCCCTACCCTGATAATAAGACCTCTGTACATTTCAGCACAGAGAGGAAGACATCACCTGAAAATAAGCCCTAGTATGTCTTCTTCAGAAAAAATAAATATAAGATAGTGTCTTATTTTTGGGGAAACACAGTAAATGTGAGTGCAAATTTGGATTAAATAAACATATGAATTCTAGCCCAATAATCAGATTGGCTTCTTCTGTTTAAAAATGCATTCATGTCCAAGTTCAGAACTGATTTACAGGTGGGGCAAGGTGGCTCATACCTGTAATCCCAGCATGCTGGGAGGCCAAAGTGGGTGGATCACTTTAGCTCAGGAGTTGGAGACCAGCCTGAGCAAGAGCGAGACCTCTTCTCTACTAAAAATAGAAAAACTATGGCTCGGCGCCTGTGGCTCAAGCGGCTAAGGCGCCAGTCACATACACCGAAGGTGGCGGGTTTGTATCCCCAGCCTGGGCCCACCAAACAACAATGATGGCTGCAACCAAAAAATGGCC